TCCTGGTTTCTGAATCACTTAGAAGGTAAAGAAGGCAGATGGAGTTGAAAACATTAGCTTTATCACTGGGAAGAGCTAGACTCAGGAGTATGGCTCACCTCTGTTGTTGCAGAGGGATTTTAAAACATGTCTTCAGAATTGAGCTTACTCACCTAGACACAGGAAGCACTAACAGATTGCAGACACATCTCACCCACTCTTCAAGGGGGTGGCATTTTAAAAAGTTATAAGATCGCAGACCAGACTAGAGCATATGTTTCATGTGAAGGCCACCTACAGGGAACAGCAATATGATGAGGCCTGGCTGAAGCAACCATATCTAGCATCTCTCTGAAACCCATGGGAAACAGAGCAGGCTAGAAGGTGTTCAGAATATGTGTGTGGTGTTTCAGTGGCTGCTGTGATGTTTTCTCATTAGTTTTGTGACTTAAACTACAGAATTTCATTATCATGTGGTTCAACAATCTGAAAATATCTCAGTGAGCTAAAGGCAAGGTGTTGATAGGGCTGCATGCCTGCTGATACATCTAAGGCAAACTATCTTTTGTATTTTTGGCTTATGATGTTACCTATGTTCACTGGCTTGTAGCTCTTACCCAGTGACGGCATCTCTTCAACCTATTCCATTGTCAGATCTTCTCTGAGCCCCCTGCTTCTCTCCCATTTCGATAGCCTAAGATATGCCCTACAGATCAGAAATCTTACTTAGCACAGTGGCCAGGTCCCCATTGTTAAAAAATCATGATATAATCACAGGTATGTGGTATGGACATGTGTGCCAGACACCATTGTTTGTGTTGTAGTCTTCATAGAATCTTCAAGAATTGGGATGAAATATCCCTAACTGGTCCTAGTTGGAAGTTTCTGGATCTATCTGCTAAGTTCCTGTGTAGAGAATGTTGTCTGGATTGACTGACATATTCATTGCAGAGGACTGTACATGGAGTTTCTGTCCAGCCTGGTCCCACCGCCCTTCAGCCCCAAATAAATGCACAGAGACTTACATTAATTATAAACTGCTTGCCTGATGGCTTAGGCTTCTTTTTTTCTTTTCTTTTCTTCTTTCTTCTTTTGGTTTTTTGAGACAGGGTTTCTCTGTGTAGCTTTGGAGCCTATCCTGGCACTCGCTCTGGAGACCAGGCTGGCCTCGAACTCACAGAGATCTGTCTGCCTCTGCCTCCCGAGTACTGGGATTAAAGGCATGTGCCACCAACTCCTGGCATGGCTTAGGTGTCTTACTGGCTAGATCTCTCTTAATTATTAACCCATAACTACTAATTTATGTATTTCTACATGGTTTTATCTTACCAGAGAATATCTGGACCTGTTACTCCTTCTGCAGCTATATGGCATCTCTCTCACAGCCTCTCTCTGTGTCTTCTCTCCGGAATTCTCTTTGTCTCATAGCCCCACCTATACTTCCTGCCTGGTTACTGGCCAATCAGTGTTTTATTCATCAACCAATACAAAAAACATATATACAAGACAACCCCATCAGAGCGCTGTCTGTTGCACAGTGAGACTGACCAGTCTTGTGATCTTGGTTCCTGATTGGATGACAATGCAGCCAGTGATTTAGGGATTTCTGTTTCTTATATTACATTTCAAACAACTCTGAAAGGTTAGTATGGATATTTAAAAAGTAAATATTAATATTTCTGTTTTATGACCAAGTAATGATCCTTACAATTAGGTCTTTCATTTCAGACCCTTGTGTGTTTTTTGTTTTTTGTTTTATTTTATTTTCCTCATAGATTCTCTGCTTTGCAGAGAAGAGAGGAAACCCCTCAGGTCTTGTTCTACCCATCATTATGAAAGGACCTAATTTATGTCTTGTTTACCTTTGCATAAGAGTAGACCCCTTAGGTCTTGTCCCACCCACCATTATGAAAGGACTTAATTTATTTCTTGGTTGCGTCTCTGTCATGTCTTGTTCGCAATGACAGAGAGTAGAAGTGAATTCCAGAGTGTCCTGTGTTCTATTCCTTATATTTTAACCTTCTGTTCTCTTTCCATCTAGCTCAACAGAGTGCTCTATTGGAGCAGCTGAGAATGCACTGTATGAGATAAAGGGATACCATCAAGAAAAGTGTGAGACTGGCAACTCTGTCACTGTCCATGGGAAATCTGATGGCTATTTCTTCCCAGGCACTGCATGACTCCAGTTCTCTTACCGAATAACATGGATGATTAACACAGGCAAGGCAGGGTGGAATTTAATGGGAAGAACTCAGACCATTTTCTACAAAGCTGTGACTGATACATAGAAATAGTTTAAGCATGAATCTAAACACAATGAACACATACCATATTTTTCTGGAAGCCCAAGACGTGGAATAAAATAGATACTTGGTGAATATTTGCTTAATGCATCTTCAAGATACTAGTCTGTGACAGAATTGATATTGACCATTATCATCATCAGATGCCTTGACTGTTAAGGTAGTAAGTGCAGAATCATCTGAATGGCATGGAATTTGGCAGAATTCCTTTCCTGTGTTTTATTATCAGCAGCATAGTATTTTCTGTGAGGACAAAAGTTGTAGTGTACTGAAACCCAAAAGGTATAGAGGTAATTCCATACCCTGGTCTAGGTGCCCTTCTATGAGGGATCATTAAACTCTGTCAAGTCATTTGGGGCAGAGTCTAGGCCCTTCCCTGTGTATCTAGGCTAAGAGAGTATCCCTCTAGGGGAATTGGGCTCCCAAAGTCCATTCGTGCACTAGGGATACATCCTGGTTCCACTGCCAGAGGCCCCATAGACTGCCCCGTGCTCCTAACTGACACCCACATTCAGATGGTTTGGTCCTATGTTGGTTCCCCAGCTGTCAGATGGAGGTCCATGAGTTTCCGCTTGATCAGGTCAGCTGTTTCTGTGGGTCTTCCCAGCGTGGTCTTGACCCCTCATGGCCAGTTGTGGTGGCACAAGCCAGTAGAATTTGCTCAAGGAGGCAGAGGCAGGAGGATCATGAGTTCAAGGCCAGCTTGGGCAGCATCAGTGTCTTTATCCTTAAGATGGTACAGCAAAAATGACATTGTGCTTTCTATATATCCATCTTGGCAGCAATAGTCCTAGGGTATGCAGTGACAGCAAGATTTCTTCTGCAAATCTAAGCTTTTAGATTGTCAAAGTTGCATTACCAGGCAAACATATGTTGCCCCAATGAACATAGACCAAGGACAATGGTTTTAGCTTAGCTTTCTAAACTTCTCTAAGGAACAAACTATCCAAGAACATTAACCTTGTTTTGTGACAAATGTGCCTGATTGTTTGAAATACTCAAATGCTTAAGAGGATCCATCAAGACGAGAAGGTTATACTGGTTTTCTTTTGGCCTAATTCCTCACAGTTGATACATTCATTGTTCTGTTTTAAAGCAGCTTTAACGTTTTAGGTAAACCTATTATAATCAAATATATACATGATTAAAGAGTCAACTATGTAGCCATGATATGCTGGAATAAAAAATAGCATTATTACCTTTCTATAGATCAGGCTTTACAATTGATTTCCAGGTGCACAAATACCATGTTTATATGATAGTTTTGAAAGTCTGCTTTAGATATGACCTGTTGAATTGTTACCATGGATGCTGACAAATTAGCTATTTTTTTTCTCTTATCCTGTGTCACCAGGATTACTTGTCTCACTTGCTTTTCTTAGTTCTCACATTTTTGTTAGATCTCCTATTAAAAAATAAGACTATACAAGGACAGATTGGTGCTGCTGTTAGTGGGCTGTGATCTTGGACCAAACATAGGACCAAACCATTTTCTTCATCTTTCAATATGTCCTTATCTTTCATAATGCCCTCTGTTTTGCAAATTTACTTAATTTTCCCTTAAGTAAACATAGATTTAATCCCAAACTTGTTCATAATTATCTAAATGTTGTCTTTGTACACACCTTCTCCTCCTCAAGACTACCTTTTGGAGACACTGCCCTTAGCACCTGTGACCAACTTTTACACAGGAAGCCTGGGTATTCTTTTTGTCTGACCTCGAAGTTGGATCTCCTGATTTTTTGCACCCTATGCCTTCTGTTGTTTTTTTTATTTACTTTTGGATATCATATGTTGTATATTGCCTTTGTTTCATGGAGCACATTTTCTGGGAATGGATGCATAAAGAAAAAAATCCTGGCATCTTACATTTCAATGTTTCTGTCTTTGCTTGCAATTATCCTCCAGGATTTTGAGACCATTGTTCAATTTCCTTTTAGATTCTAGAATTGCTTTTGAGAACTTTGAAATTTCTTCTTCCTGTTGCTTTAGGTGTGACCTACTTTTCCTCCTACACATATGCCTGTACCTGAGGTGACCTTGTGTGAGTCCATATTCACTTACTTGGGTAATTGACAAGACTTTGGTCTAGAACTCATGCCATCAGCTTTTCAAAGGTCTCAAATAATTTCTGTAGCAGTATTGTTGTCATTTCTATCTCAGTTTGAAATTCCTTATGTTAGTTGAATGGCATTGTCCCTTTAAAATGATTTTACTTCTCTAATAGTTTTGCTTTTCATTTTTTCTAAATTTTTTTTTCTTGAAAATCCCTTCTTCCAAGTCTTTACTTTTAGTTACTTTATAAGGCATCTAGTTTTCAGAGTCAATGAGACAAAAAGCTGTGGCAGTAGTTCTGAGATGGTTGTCTCTGCTTAGCTTTCCTGAGTGCAGTTTTCTAGAAATGACCTCATGTGCATTATCACAACAGATAGAACGCAGAAGTAGACACAGGGGCCCAGCTTGCTTTTATTTAAAACCATGTGCTACAGAGATTTGGAAAGCAATGTGAAGTGAAGCCGCCAGTGATGGGGGAAGTGCTTCTGTGTATGTGCTTGTCTTACTGGATGATAAATAAAATACTGTTTGGCCAATGAGCCAGTAAGTTAGACGGGACTAGGAGTCAAAGAGGATTCTGGGAAATGTAGTAGAGAAGTGGTGATCCAGGCAGGAAGTGACATAGCAAGGAGAAACAGGAAGTGTCCCCTTTTCCCCCTCCGCTCTTCCTCCAGCGGCACAATGTGATTCACCGGCAAGGAGGGACAACAATGGAAGGTGTCCCATAAGATAAGTCTTATAAAGCATTATATAAAGATTTATGATAATTAAGACTGAACTATCAGATGAGAATTCTAGTCATTGGCCAAGCAGCATTTGAACCTAATACAAATCTCTGTATTAATTTGGGCCCTAACTCAGGTGGGTGGCTGGCGTAAAACGCACACACGGCAGTAGGGCTCGGCGGCTTTTGGTGGAAAGATTTATCATAACATGCCAGTGTCACATAATTTTTTTTGTTTTGGATTTATGATTTCTTCCTAGAAATGTATTATTTGTATTACGTGTTAAGTATTTTGTATAATATACTGACCACTCTGCAAGTACTTACTTAGCAAATTCCATTTAAGCTCCTATATGAAGAACACTGATAGAAGTAATCTCTGTAAACAAAAGCTTTTCAGGATTTTCAAGGTTTTTTTTTTTTTTAAGACTACTATTCTGTAACAGAAGGTGTGAAACTACAACCATAAATATTCCTTATTAGACCACAATAGTCTTATTTCTTAGATACAATACTTACATTTCTCTTAGACTATAAATTTATGTTGTGTATGTGTGGTTCTTTTTGTGTGTATTTGTATGTGTGCAGTTTGCAGGTACAACTTGTGTGTACCCATAGATGGTCCTCTTTCCAACCCCAGAATATTATTTTCTTTTGAATTTTCCCTTTCCTCAGGTGGTCTTTCTGCTAAATTCTGTTTCTCTCCCTGTCTCTCTCTGTTTCTCTCCCTCCTTATTTCCCCTCTCCTCCCCACCATATCCTGAAGGCTTTCCAGAAGGTGGTCCTTCTCTGATCCTAATCCTGTAAGAATCAGAGTTCAGAGCATCAGTGTAGCAGGCTGTCTTTGGGCCTCCAATAGTTTCCAAATCACCACACAGACTTAATATTAGTTATGAATGCTTGGCCTTATCTTATGCTTGTCACAATTAAATTAAATATAACTTAATCTGTTTCTCTTCAGCTACATTTGCCTTGGGGCTTTTTACCTTTCTTTCATTCTGTATGTCCTACTCCATGTCTGGTTGGCTGGTGGCTGCCTGCCTGGCTGGCTGGCTCTGAGCCTCTCCCTCCCTTTCTCCCTCATTCTCTCTCCACTCCTCCCTAATTCCTAGATTCCTTCTCTTCCTTAGTCTCTCTTCCCACCAGCTCTGCCTATCTCTTTACTGCCTAGCTATTGGTCATTCAGCTTTTTATTAGACCAATCAGGTGCCTTAGGCAGGCAAGGTAAAATAAATGTAACACATCTTTGTTTAGTGAAACAAATGAAACACATCTTTACATAGTTAAAGTAATATTCCACAACACACCAGCCTGAGTTTCCCTAGTGATCTGACTGCTAAAGCAGCATTTTGTCTCATTTTCTAGAGTTTTCACCTTCTTAGAGAAGAATGAGGACTGAACTTGTTCTAGTTTGATTCTGTTGCTGTAACAAATATAATGACCAAAAAGCAACTTGGGAAGAAAAGGGACACATCTAGGTCACAGTTGATCAATGAGGAAATTAAGGGTGGAAACTCAATTGGGAACTGAAGCAGAAACCATGGAGGAATGCTGCTTGCTGGCTTCCTCACACTGGCTCTTTGTCTTAGAAAGCACAGGCCCACTTACTTATGTATGTACAAGCTTTAGTCGGTTAGGCCCTTTTGAGTCAATTAGCAATCAAGAATATGCCTCACAGCCATGCCCACAGGCCAATCTGATAAAGGAAATCTTTCAGTTGACTTCCTCCTTCCCAGAAGACTCTAGTTTGTGGCAAGTTGATAAAAACTTCTGCTGGGGTCCAGCCTATATCAGTCCCACACTACAGAGGCCATCTATTCTGGACTGATGTCTTTGGGGCTGCAATTGGAACCAGCTGTGAATCCCTGGGTCTGACCCTGAGTGGAGGAGTGGGGATCAGGAAACTCCTAGCTACCTAGCAGCATGAGACAAAGCCATTTTGTCATCTCAGGAGGGCTCTCAGTCTGCTGGAGTCCATGGTTTATTCAAGCATCCTGTTAAATAGCTTTCCAACAGTGGGGGGTAATAGAAGAAGACATCTATTTTCATGTATAAAGCTGATATCAAGTATTTCCTTTAATTCTAGAGACACCCCTAAAACTGCACTTCCTCACTAGCCTCTCACCAGTACCTGGGTACATTGCACCAGCCCCCAGGGGCCTAGGTCTATTTTTATACAAACTAGGAACCATTCTCCACCTTTGTCAGGCCATCCTGAGGTAACCAGCCTGCATCTAAAAGACAATGGGAGATTCGTGCTCCTGGGATTGAGCTTGAGGTTTGCATCTGAAATGTTATATTCAATATTTGGGCCCCGACAAACATCCAGTACAGGGGCCAGTCAAATGACCTATCAGGAGTTCTCAGCATTCAACACACTGAGCTTTGCTGTGAGGTGGCTCAACTTCTACACCAGTAATCTTCTCAGTCCTGGGATCCTCTGTCTTATTCTCTATGGAGAATTAACCTCCAATATGATGTGAGTCTTTAATATTAGGTAATGCTCTTGCTGTGTCTTAAATAAATTTGCTCATCAGCACATCCACAGGCCCTACCTGATGCTGGTTTCTTGGCTCTGAACATCTGTGTCAGGCAGGTTCTTCTCTACTTTGTCCACGGCAAGTATAGGGATTTTGGTCCTTTCTTCTTCAACATACAAGTTGTCACTTGCCCAACAGTTCCCAGTTTCCAAACACTGTTATGTTTGCCTTCCCTCTCCTTTCGGTGAGTTTACGGTTATAAAAAAAAAGTTCAATATAAATATCTCTTCCAAGATTTGCTAATCTATAGCAGAATTGCTTGAGCGTGTTGAACATTCCATCATTATACAGAACCGAGTCCAATCTTTATATGGCCCAGGCATGTGGCCAGTGTTTATTTTTGTGTTTCTTTCTGAAGAGTCCGAGATGATGTCAATTTTTGTTGCCAAAGTTATCTCCAAGTTGTCTACTCAATTACTCAATTCATTTTTAGCATAGGATAGATAGGATAGAATATCTAGTTTTAAGAATCTTCCCTAAGATTATTTTTTAAGCATCAAAAACTTAAATGAATACACTTGATTTCGCTGAAGTGGTAACAATGAAATTTCTATTTTTAATTTTTTATGAACAGTTTCAATATGATAAATGTCTTACCATTTTCAATACTGGTATCAGATGAGCACTGGCTGTGTCTAGAATTTCATCTCCTGTAGGAAATGACACAAAATGCAGATATGCTGGATATTCTATAGAAATATTTTTCAGCATGAGGATTCATTAATATTTATTGAACTCTGTAAGCCTTGACCTCTAGTCATATCTCAGTAGTATTTAGAGAGACTGTGTCACTTTTGAAGACCATTTAAGGCACAGCTGGTACTGGAAATATTTTTAGAAAAATGACTAACTGAAATCTACCAATAGAGGAAAATGTCAGTGCTCCTTGATTTGATCTTTAAAAAGAGACTTCCATTTTTTATTTATTAAAGTGAATCAGAGAGTGACAATTTCCTCACTTAAGGGTCTTGTATCTAGAACACCTTAACTCTAGGGATGCATTTACTGAGCTGTGTGACTCTCCCCACCGTGTTTTCCTGGCTTCTGTAGTCAAGACAGCCAAGCTCTCATCCATGTCTCAGAGAATTCAAGCTGGAAGTAAGAAGGAAGAAATTAAAATGTATGGCTTTTTTGACTATTCATTGGGAATCCTAAGGGGGGCTTTATTTGAGTATTTGTTTTGTTATTCTTTCTGGTGATTTTGTCATTGATGAAGTATACAGGAATGTTGCTCTGTTGAGTATGGTCTGTACTTAGGGTACTGTAGTGACAATGGGTATACTGACTGCTTAAGAACAAGAGAGGGATACACATGTCAGCCTCCTGGATAAAGAATCAGGTTACAAATTGGAACTAAAAAAAAAAAAAAAAGTAATTGGGGAAAAGTCGACAATGGAGAGCTCTGAAATGTTAGACTCCAGGTTAGTAGGGCTGATATGGGCCCCAGAACACCAACTTTATCCTTTATATAATTCTGATGAAAATTTCACTTTGTAGCTTAGGGACCATTTTTAAAACACTTATAAGCTCTTATCATATATTGATGCCTTTGACGTCTGCTTAAAATGAAAATGACTCATACAAATACAGATTGCATTTTTTCAAGATATTTGTGACTTTTGCTTTTGAAGTCACCTAGTTGTAATATGTCACTTAAATTATGATCAGCTCTCATTTCTCTTTGGTCATTGGGAATTATTGAGATGTTAAAATAAAATTAAGCTACAGATTACTTTTAATCTGTAATGATGCTTAAGTGAATATTGAATTTAATAATTAATGAAGCTTTCATAATTGTATGTTTGGATGATGCCTCCTGACCCCTTTCTAATCTCAAATCTTTTGGAGCTAACAGTTCACTGTTACATTTTCTTACCATGTATGTCTAAAGCAATGTGTCTAAAGTACCAGAGGGATAAAACACATGAGACATGCGTGGAGTTTGATCTTGGAGCAGGAGCTGGAACATCATTGCCAAAGACCACAAGAAAGATAGGTTTGATCAAAATAGCATGAAGAACACTGATTTGGGTGTGAAGATCAATAACTAACTGAAGAGGAGATTAAATTAGACATGACAATGACCTTCAGTTACTTGAAGAACACTCTCGCAGGAAAAAATTCTAACATCTTATGATGCACAGGCCAGACTTGGGATCAATAGATGTAACTGATGAGGAAGTTAATTTTGGTTCCATGTCAAGGAGTTTTTCAGCAATGAGGGAGAGGGTGGTTGAGGAGATAAGAAACCCTTTGACCTGTTTAGGCTAAAAATCTATCTTCAAAAATATTGTAAAATTCTGGTATATAGTTGACTTAGATGATCCAAGATATATGAAACTAAGATTCTACAAGTAAAGGCTTCAAAATATAGCTGCTATGAATAATTTATAAATGATTACATTTGAGCATAATCCCTCAGAAGTTCACCTTGGCTACATCTACAATTAATAATAAATCCCTTAGAAACTATGAGTGCACACTTAACCTTTTTTTTTCACTTAATCTTAAGTAACTTTATTTCCATGGCTGTTTGCTATTTCTTTTATTTTTCCTTATTAGAAGGTAAGAGGATTTAAAGGCAAAGATACCCATAACATTTTTCATGAAAATTGAAGAAACAAAAATACAAACACAGAAATGATTATAGATGAAAACAATACCATGGAAACAATTTACTTCAGATATGCAGTGTCTTGTTACAAAATCATTCCATTTTTTCTGACTCTGAAGGAGAACTTAACAAGGTAACCCCACCCCCAACATGTTGGCAGAAATGTTTCTGTCTGATGCTTTGCTCAGAGATGGGGCACACTCTTATCTGAATTTCAGGATGCCACACACTAATTTAAATGCTACGTGGATAACTGTATGCACTATCACTTTATCTTGGTCAGAGTAAACAGTAGTCCTAACACCTGCCATCCTACTATTACATTACCAGCAAAAACAAGCAATTGTTAACATTAAAATTTCTGGTATTTAATAGCAAAGATAAGTGAAAATTCTAGGTCTATAAAAATCTTCCAATGGATTTCAGAAATTCAAGTTAGAAGCAAAATGAACCCACCCTCATGCCCCCAAAATAAATCAATAAATAAAAATCTTCAGTCTAGAAGGGAAGTTGGCAAGACTGTGGGACTTGGTAGCTTGGTATTGAGTGCATTTTAAATACTGTACATTTTTGTTTAATTATTCCCCCCATTGAAATTTGAATAGTTAGGTTATAATGGTGGAGCCCCCATGAATAGGTTATGATCTTACAATGCAGTGGGGGAATCAGACTGCTTTCACTGGGTGAAGACAGAGTGAGTAGTAGCCATGTAAGAACAGGGGATTCGATCTGCTTTGACCTAAGACTTCCTAAGTTCCAGGAATCAGAGATAAAATGTTTTTGCTTACATAGCCTAATCTGTGCATTTCTCATGTAGCAGCCCTTATACTTCCACACACATGACTCTTCTTGTGAAGCAAGGGTTCCCCAGATGCCTGCACTGTACTCCATCTTGAACCACTTGTGATAGCCCAGTTGTAAGTTTGTTAACCTGAAGGTTGTTTTTCAGATCTTGGCCCCAGGGAGTCTTATAATCACATATTTAAGGGCCCAAAGCCTCTAGTGTGTGTGTGCGTGTGCGTGTGCGTGTGCGTGTGCGTGTGATGTGAGGTTTCTGGATTAGGTAAAGACCAATTACTGATTTGCAGAATATCTTGTGGGGATTTCTGGCCATCAGTCTCCAAAGGCGAGCACAGACATCACTATCAGAGGAGGACTGCATAAACCTACATTTAGAAGTTTCCGAGTTTGCACAAAGCTTTATCTCATTTGCTTCAGAAAGAAGTTGGATGAAGAAGGGAAGGAGAGAATGTGGGGGGGGGGGGGGGTTAAGAAAGGGATTGATTATAAGGACACTGAACTTTTTCCTGGTGGAGGTAGAATATAAACAAACCCTCCCTAAGTGGAAGCAGCTAGGACCTTAGGTCTTTTGCCTTTCTGATATAAACAAATGACTCCAGCAAAAGGAAACCAGAAAATCTTTTGAGAGTTGGCTTTAGCTTCCAAGATTTGTCTTTGGCTTCCAAGTCTTTACTGCCCAGAATCCTTTAACTCAGGGTCTTGGTGTTCTTTGCTCTGGAAGACTTACCATTTATATTCCTAACTGGCAGACTTCCATTAACAACCAGGATATCACAGGTGACCCTAGATTGAGTACAATGGAGATGCCTGAGTGAACCATTTATTTCATTAAGAAGAACCATGCATGTGAAGGCAATAGTACACTCCAAAGCTGTGCAGTTGCTGATGTGCAGTGATTTTATGGTCTCAAGGGTTCCCTAGAAGTTCAAATGGTCCACAGAGAGTTCCTCATGCTGTACCTCCAAATGCCATTGGTGTGCGCCTCCACTTCACCCCTATCCTCTCCTCCTGTATCCACTGATGGACCACAGATACCCGGGAACCCCTGTTTCCATCACCCTAATCACATTCCTTCTTCAGAAATCTCTACTTTGTGATTATTCAGCTTATCCCTAATATTTCAACCACACAAAACATCATTGACACTAAATTTCCTTAAGTGACTTATCCATTTTTCTTTGTTTAGTTTTTCAAAAGCAGTGTTTACCCATTTATTTCTTTATCTCCATCTTTCCCCTTACTTCAACTCTTTCTTGTCTTTTCCTCTAGGCAGAGATTGTTTCTCAAGGATCTCTGTTTTTTTTTCAAATTCAGTTTATTCTCCATGATAAACTCAGTCACTTGCATCAGAGTTGACTTCTCCACTTACCCCACTGGGCATCAATCAAGCCATGGTTATCCAATCTGCATTTTGGTTAAGGAGTTCTATTATATGTATGAAATACAAAAATCAATCAACTTTCTTTTAGGGTAATTTTCAGGCAATAAATCATGGATATGGTTAAGGAGAAAATAAAAGAAGGAAATTCTATTCTTCAGTGGTCATTACCACTAATACCCTTTTAATAGTCTGTAGCTACATGTGTTAATAAAAATTAACATCCTATCTTTACAGACTCCAGAAGTTCCTAACTGGACTGGTAGTGAAAAGGGCCCAAACCAACCCACATGTGGACTTGTTTGTGTTATGGACAGAGGGACTTGACATTTTAGGAACTCTAGTATTTAATAATGTAAGGTAAACTTGCCTCCCCTTTGGAGTGCTCTCCTTAAACAGCATTTTTTATCTTCCAACTCAATTGCTATACAACTATTATTTGAAAGATATTCTGTAGCAAAGGGGATGTTAAGTCTCTGCTAGCAAAGAGAGTAGAAGCCCAGAATATCCATGCAGAACTATTACCGAGAAGGCTGATCAGATCTCTTACCTTTCAAAGGTAAAGGACTCAATCTTCCTCGTGAGTCCCTATCTTCAGAGATCAGGAATGTGACTGAAATTGCTTATAATCTGAAGAATAAATCAATCAGGCCACTCGGTGTCCAGTGAGAAACAGGCCTCAGCAACCTCCTTAAGGAAAAGAGAGGACTATACGTAACCTGTAGTTATTGGCTGACACACGGGTACAGGATCTGAATTAAAGAGTGGTGTCACTGTATTAAGGCACTAATACTAATGAGAACAGACAGCACGGAGGCCATGTGAACACTTTAGATTACTCTCCATTGGCTAGGCTTGCTACCAGACACAGCTGTCTATGGTGCTTCTATAGGTCCTTTCTGTGTGAGTGCATACTGGGGATATCTTCTAAAACACAAAACTAGAGAGAAGAATATAGCTGGACATGAACACATCATGGATTTTAATTAGTGATTACCTCATAGACAGTGTCAACACCCCTCCCCTTCCATATTCCCATCACCCCTTGGATTACTTTTGAGAAATATCAGATATTGGATATTTTTATTTGCTTTAGTTTTTCTTAAGCAAAACCCATTTTTATCTTTTCATGCTTGCTCAATGTAGTCAAGGCTTTTTCAAGTGTGTGCCATTTGGCAGACAACCTTTACTAATCATATACTTGAATCTCATTAGGGGGCTTAGAATGCAAGTACACTCTGCTATATTTTTGTGTCCATCCTTTAACAGTATTTTTATTTTTGCCCATGATGTTAGAAGTACTGATATTTTTTTCTATTTGGGCATTGAAGGAAGAACATACCAAGTTAGGCATCTTACTTTCTCTCCCTCATCTCTCTCCTTCTCTCTCCCTCCCTCTCTCTTTCTTTTGGGTACAGACAGGTGCTATTTTGGAGTGATCCTCTTTTAACTCAGTGAAGCTGCCAATAAACCTTCCTCATCTGTTTATTCATGAGATATGTGGCCTTAAAACTCTTTGTAAAATCAAGTGAGGTGGCACATGCCTGTAATACTTTCTCATCAGAGGCTGAGGCAGGAGGATTATGAGACAACAGGTACCAGGTCAGACTGGGATAGATAGTGAGAGAGGACCTGTATGGAAACATCAAACAAACCAAACCGGAAGGAAAGTTCCTTTTGCTTGAGAGAACAATGTCTACATCTGGTCAACCTCCCAGAACTAATCATTCTTTCTGGGCTGTGACTTAGTGTTCTTGTTTTCTTGTGAGCCTTAGAAATGAATTGTCAGAAAGAAGCAGAGACTAGACTCCAAAGAAATGACCCCAGAACTTCTAATACCCAGGTTAATCTGATAGAAGGAAAATGAGCTGCTAGTACAGTTTGCAATTCAATTTGTTACAACTATTGAAGTTAATGACTCAGAAAAACAAAATCATGTTTTTGTTAAACACCAGACGTTCGCCAGAGATGCAGCGATTTGCTTATTACTATTTAGTGTTTGTATATGAAGTCCAGGGGTTGAGGTTGTTGCTGTTTGTTTTTTCATTTGTTTGTTTTGTTTTGAGACAGGGCCTGTCACTGAACATGGATTTCACTCTTTTCAGCTAACTGGTCAGCAAGAATCCAAGATTCTTTTGTCTCCACTCCTGTCCCTGGCACTGAGGTTACAGGTACATGTTGACATGTATGGCCTTCTCATGGGTTCTGGAAATCCAAACTCAGGTCCTCATGCTTAAGGAAGCCTTTTACACTCTGAGCCATCTCACCAGCCCTTAAGTGGTTCCAATACTGTTATGATATTGCAGCATCATAGGCAATTTTACATAGATGGGATGAGTAGGAGATAGTGGAGGAAACAAGGAGGAATATTCCTTTAGGCATGATGTTGTTGAAAGTGTAAGCTGCCAGACATCAAGTAAATCTGTGAAGAATGACTCTTTCCCAGACTATATTTCTTAACAAGAAAGAAGCAAGGCAATCTTTGTTTTGGCAAAGAATTGGAAGTTCAGTGTCCAAGTCCAGAGGAGAAGCAGTTCAATGGTGCCTACTATAGGGATCTGGTAACCAGGGAAGGAAGAAAGAAGTCATGGGTGCTGCAAATGCATGATGGCACCCATATGCAGCCACTGTAGGAGAGAAAGCAATGCTAAGGAACTCTAGTGAACTTGCTTTGTTAGTGTTTTTAAAATCTCTTTTCCATAGGCCTTATAAACAATTCCTTTTGGATGTTTTTTTTCTTCCCAAAGGCATATCAACAACTATTAATAATGTTATTTCTGTTGAGCATTACTACTTCATTCTAAAACGTATTTTCACATGTACTACGGTTCACACTCTAGCAAGAAAATCCTATAAGAGGTGATTTAATATTTATAACACATTGGCACTCAGGGATACTACTCAGTTTCCTCTTTTACGTCTTGTTAGGAAATTTTAATTAAGTGACTCAACTCATCCACATTGATATGTTTAGTGATACATTATCTGGCACACCCGTTGTGTGTATACCATGTAGTATTTGTACTTAATGTTTTTTTCTCTTTAATCTATCCACTACACAAATTGTTTTGATGATGACCAAACCTCACAAAAGTAGTGATTATCATACTGTGTCCTGTATGTGGCAGCTTTAGCTTTTATTCCTCGTCACAGGAAAACACAAGGTCTTTAAATAGAAGATTGAAAGATTCCTTTCTGGAGAGCACCAGCAGCGTTTCCCCAATAGCTTCTAATAATACTGAGTGGGAAAGAACAGTACACTGAATCATAGCCTTGCACTGTTACATAATGGCTTAAGGTCAGTTATGTAAGGCTAATAAGGCAGAAGCACACTCGGGCTACATCTGTGCAAGAACCCAACATGCACTGGGCAGACCTGGCAGCTGGATGCGGGTGGTCATAGTCAGGGTCTGATTTTACCCATCAGATCCTCAGCTTGCTCTCTGCAGTGAGATTTTCTGGGTAACATCTGCCTTACTGTCACAGGGGACAAGTTAATTCTAGTAATTAAACATTAAGCATGGTCATATCTATTTATTACGGCATTTTCCATAAGAAATTGACTTGGTCTCAGGAAGTCTGGACACTTTACTTAATTTTGCTTTTAAATTTTTACTTAACAAAGTTTTAAAATTGAAATACAATTATATAATTTCCCCTTCCTTTTCTCCCTATACCATTCAAGTTGCCCCCATCTCCTTTCAAATTGATGGCCATTTTTATTTTTATATTATAACATGTTTATGCATAGTATAATATGTATATATGCATATATTTATGTAGATACATATATGTGTATATTATACACACTCACATATATATATATATATATATATATGCAAATATATAAATAAAACATTCTGAGTCTGATTTGTTTTTGTTTTTTGTTTTGTTTGTTTTTTGTATGCATATGACTTCAAGGCTGATCACTCTGCCTTGGGCAATTAATAAGGGGGTGATTTGGTTTTTTCTTTGTTTATGGGTGTTTTGCCTGCATATGTATCTGTTCACTACCTGTGTACTTGGTACATGCAGGGGCCAGAAGAGGACATTGGATCCTCTAGAAATGGAGTTACAGATGGGTATGAAACACCATGTAGGTGCTAGAATCTAACCTAGGTCCTCTAGAACAGCAATCATTGATCTTAACTGCTAAGCTATCTCCCAGCTCCCACACTTGACTTTTAAAAACAGGAAATGGAAATCCTTGGTGTGCCAGGTCTGCCTTGGCTATACTCCCCCCACACTCCACCACCTCTCTGACACTGTGTTAGGTGGGGCAGAATCCAGACATTTCTACTTTGGAACTAGTGTGTGGACATAGATCTTAGTCTATCCTTATTATCTTATGAGTTTTGGACCAGACACTTAACTTCATCCAAGCCTCAGTTTCTCTGTTATAAAATTTACTCAGCCTATATGAGAGGGTGTGAAGAGATGGCTATGTGGCAAAGTGCATAACTCTGACTACGAGGGTTTGATTCATAGGCACCCACATAAATTCTGGGCATGTTTGGCAGCTCAACTATGATCCAACACTTTGGAGGTAGAGATAGAATTAGATAGGAGGGTAGCTAGCTTGACTAGATTAATTGGAGACCTCTGGGTTCAAGTCAAAGGCCCTAACTCAGTAATGGGGAGATAAATCAAGGAAGACAACCAAGACTGTCTATGGCCTCTGAATGTGGACACATACATGTCTGCACACATCCCCATGTACAAACATTCCCCCAAACATGCATAGACATGTCAGACAAGGCAAAACAAGATAATATAAGTCCAGGTGCTTCAGAAGCTGAAGAGTGCTACAGAAACATAAGATGCTATACTCCTAGAAGTTTTTCCTAACGAAAATATATAGAATGCCTACCAGGGAACAGGGTTAGGATGGTCAAGTATTTCTTAATGCAGGCTTTTGTAGCTCTTGGTCTTGGATTTAATCCTGTCGCATTAAATTAGACATAAACACACATTTTTCAACATGTATACTTCACAAAATATCATAGCCGCTCTAGGATTATTTTAACTCTACAAGAACTTGAAAGAAAATGCTGTCACTCTTTGTCCCCTAAACATTAAAAGTTTACCTATGTAATAGTTACACTCAATCAGCTAGCTATTCAAGAATGTATGGTTTCACACAGAAATCTCATAGCACCTTGGGTGATAATAATGAACCATTCCAGTTGGGATTTGGCTTTTTTAGTTATGTTAAAGACCTTCATTTTGTTTACAATTAGAATGGTCTTTAGAGTGATAAGAAGTAGGAAATCCACAGGTTCTCTTGTGGCAATTCTTTACAATCTGTTTCATGGATATGTGAGGCTGGAGAAGTATTCAGAAATGAGAACCAAACACAGTGGCTTTCTAGAGGGGGACTTCCAGAGGCTATATGACTTAATAATTAATTTCACTGTCTAGTGTTAGTTGAGCAACTTTAAAGCTGTGTGTATCTTAGATGGTGAGTTGAGACCATTAGACTAGTATTAGCCACTCAGAAATGGCAAGGAAAATATTCATGTAGAAATCATTGGTCAGGACTGCACTGTGGCTTGCATCCATCCTCAGTTTGAGTTCGAATATGTAAACAAACACATTTGCTCTAATTTGGACTTCAGGACTGCTTTGCCTAATCTATAGCTATTTGTATTCTGTAAGGCATTGGACCAAACAGCCCATTAGTCTTTGAGGGTTCACAGGATAGAACCACTTTCATCCTTATCTTTCAAAGTTGAACACTACTAGAAAGAACACAGGTCACTGATTTTCCCTCTCATTCTGTGTTCTAATTGTAGATGAAAATTTGTGTTGGGGCTTCAAATGGTTGAGTTAATTATTTTCCCTTTTGCCAGGTCAAAATATTAGTACCATGGCTTCTTGGAGTGACATAAAAGTAACTTAATGAACTTATATTAACATAGACCCACGGCTCAGTGCCAGATATCTGGGTCCACCAAAAGATGAGTTTCCAAATAAAGAGCTCCAGATTGGATTATGACTAATGATTGAGCCCTGTCAGGGTACGGATCCCAACAAAAGTGCCGGTGGCACCCAGCTTCAGTTGTGAACACTGGGAAGACAACACAGCCTTTAGAGCCAGAGAGAGGAAGCAGACAGGCTGCTCTGCATTTGTAGGGTTCTATGAGAGCAAGTCTGAAGTTGTAGTGTTCTAGCAAGAGGCATCCTGGCAGCAATTATCCCACTGGAAATGGCCAGAGGCAGGCGCAGGGAAATATGGTTGTCTTGTGAGGTTTATTTCACTCAGTTAAGAATCATAAATATCTCTATGCGTGGCAGGAACAGACTCTGACATTTGAATTTGCATGCTCAAACTAGACCCCTCTAGCCCACTTCCTCCACGGTCAATACCAGTTATACCCAGGCATCAGGTGGCACCAAGGAGTGTCTGAAAAATTGCAGGTGTCTCTTTCATTATCCCAAGGACATTGTTCATATCTTTTGCGTTGTGGAGAAGAGACTTGAATTATCTATATCCCAAGGGTACGCTATTGTTCCTTAGAGGGAATGCAGAAGAAGACTCTGCAGAACCTAATGGTACCCATTTCAGGGTCCTACATTGCTTCCTTTCAGCAGACACCATGTTACCTTTCAGAATCAAACAGTTCAAGAAGCACTTCCCCTCTCCCTGTCGCTCAATTACATTTGACTTTAGGTGGAATTTCAATAGGAAATCAAATCATTTGTATTAAATCTCTCTTTAACTTAGCAGCAGGGCTGTAACGTTGAGAATAAAATACATTCGCTGACCCCAAGAAGGCTACCATTTAAGGATATGGGAGCTTCATGTCAAAAGAACCATCACAGCAGTAGAAGGGAAGAGCTACCAGGAAATGGGAACAGGCAAGGGGACCATACCAGGAATTGTTGAATGTGTTTCCTTAAGAAATCATGGAGAGGGACAGCTAACACTAAAGGCCATTTGAGAGGTCATACAGAAACCTACTACAGTGGAAACTTCTTTATGTATGTATGTATATATATGTATATATATGCATATATATGAACATATACTATACATATATATGTACTAGATATACGTGTGCATATTGAATGTATACACACACACACACATATATATATATATATATATTTATATATATATATTTCTTCCATATATGTATATATGAATGGAGTGGAATTACCAAATAAC